ACTCTGATCTCACCAGTACCCGGTCTGCGCACCTCGGACAATGCTGCCATGCTTATGCCGAGTCGACCAAGCTTCAATGACATCACAGACAAGCAAGCATTTTCTCGGAGTGTGAGCACATTCCATGCTCCAAACCGGACATCCCGCTCAGATTCAGTCGAGGCAGCCGTGAAGAGGTGTTCGACACCTCGGCACCACCAGCACAGTAACCCTGGTGATTTCGCCGACACCGACGCTGGTGCTGTTTTGGGCTGCAAGGTTTTCTCCTAATCTGACCACGGGGTTCCCGAGGGATTTGCCCTACAGTTTATATGTACTGCCCTATGCACAGGGCAGCAGCGTCAGGAGTACTTCCGATGTCAATAATGGGGAGAGAGGGTGCCAATAGACCACAGCACTAAGCAGCCCTGATACCCCAATCCATATGAGTGTTTTCAAAGCCATCAGTGAAGAAGTTATTGTAAACTGTTTTGTAATTTCAGTGTGTTTTGTAACAATTTAGACCACCATTTGGTGTTGAATAAACGAATGACTTTCTTCGATACGCCAGGGTCTTTCTCTGGTAATTTACGTCCATAACCTACTGATCATCATATGCATAATTTAAAAACTTAATAATAATAACAAAAATAACATGAGTATTAAACAAGTGATTAACAGATTCAATTGATCTCATTACATGATGAAGACGTATAATCGAAGAAATCGTGTGTCAGTTTTGAATGATGGTTATCCCCCAAAGCACAAAATAGTTTTTTTTAGTTTCTAACATGCTAAATAGGGTTGAGGTTTCTCAATTGGACTATGGTTAATATTGTCACATCACACTCGAGGTGTCCATCAAAGCATTTTTACATGCATACACAATGATTGACACAATCTTATCATTACACTGACCGAGTTTCGATGAACACCAGCATGCTATTAGCTATAATACTGCTAGTACCACAGACAGAGTATGGCAACATCTGGTTAAATAATACATTACGTCATTCGAATATTTGTTTACTCGGAGCGGATAAAAATATATTTTGAAATTTATTTTAAAAAAACATATTGATTAACAATCTGTATATTAAACTAGAATCATATTTTGGTTCCAGCAAACATTATCATAGGAGTACTCACTAGATAGAATACATATTTATTGACATCTGCAATGAGATTAAGATTAGACACATGTGAGCTACTGGGCATAACATGCTCCGTGATAGTACATATGTACAGTACATTTGTTTTTACTGACGACCTAATTATTATGCCAAGACACATATGCGATTACTGAGCAAATTATGGTGCCTATATACAGTTTAGTTATTGAAATGTTCATCGAAATCACATTTCATTGCCTATACCAGTTCTAAACTAAATTGTCAATCACATAAATAGTTCCTGGAAGATATTTCAAACGTTTCAAAATTATTTCCCGCTATAATTTGAATTGAAAAATACACCACTTGACTTACAATAGACACAATTCTAGCATCTTATGAAATATATTTTATCAAAATTATTGAAATGAGCTACACATAACTTGATACATGATGGATTCGGAACATCCTGCTTTCATAAAAAAAACAATTGCGTGCCATCATACTAACACCATCGCAACTAACCATATCCTAGCTATATGCCAACACATTAAAACAATCCTAGCTGACAATACCCCGGCACTTTGGCGCAGCACACTAGACATATTCTAGTTGATGCACCCTATCGAAGCACACAAGATCTATCCTATCTGATGCTACATTAGCACCCTTCGAAAAGCACATTAAACATATTAGAAGTGTTCATAATATAAATAACTATGACTCATTCAAATGTTAGCAATTCATGTCAGAAATCATTGTAGTGCAATAGATATGTCAATCATAACATTTCCAATTACGTTACAGCGTTTTCGACGTTGCAATACGCACTTACTTGTTAAGGTGTGTCCGAAATATGTCGTTTTGAAAAAAAAAACGCCGCAGTATGACTAGAAAAACTTGGTCGCCATATTTGCTGATTTGCTTCAGGATAAATAAAAAACGTTTTAACATCTCAATACATTAGATGTGATGTATCATGCACATGTTAATGTCAAAGCAAATATTGGCAAACAGCTCCTCAGCCCATCATATATAATATATGTTTACATACTAAAACAAATACATGTTACAGAATGGTAGTGAACAAATCAATGTAAAGTTATGGGTTCCAGTTAAATTTGTCACTGAGTTAGGGTGTTATTGATTGCGGCAGATGAATGACACAAGTGAATGAAAGCAATTGAGAAACTTCTTATCCGCTGTTTTTACCTCCCATAATTCATTGCATGATAATCTCATTCGCCATAAAAAATGAGACATGTGACACCCAAGCATATAATCCCAAACAGGTGAAACACATGCATCCGGATCAATCAAATGAATAACAATAGACACTCACAACATAAATACATGATTTGGAGTTACAAATTTCATACTTGCAATTCTGACGAAGAGTGTAGGTGTTCTCCAACTACGAAGATGCTCCGTATTCTACTGATCGTTGCGGCAATCATTGCAGTGGAAGCTCAACATGAAGTAAGTGAATACTTTTTGTTTCATTTTTAGTTTGTCAGTTTATCGTCTTTTGATCATTTGATTTGTCAGAATGTTTTTATCCCCATTTCTTTGTCGAATTGTCTTAAAATTTCTCTTTCTCTTGATTTCTCGGCTTGGTTTTCTCTTCATTTGATTGGACAGATTGTTCATACCTATATCTGATTTGATTAAAGATTGGTTGCTCTTTTGATTTGATATACTTGTTTTAATTGTTAACATTTATGGGTCAGCGTGTTTGCAATCTTAATTTTACTAATTTGTTCATCATATGCTAAACCACCATAATTATTTAATTAACAATAATTAATTGTTAAGTGTAATATTTCAAATGATGACGACGATGGTGTAGTTTTCAGGCATCGATCACCTAAACATGTCGGCCAGTAACCATAAACAGTTGTAAAAACCACATTGAAGCAGTTGGTTTAAAATGGTTTAAAAGCCCTTCTGATGAAGTAGTTACGACGCGCATTGCATTATATTGTATTGTTTCGACTGTAAATTGATTTATTCTGCATTGTCATTCTATGCAATGAAGTAAGAATTTTACATGAAAAATAATTGTAAATCTATCATGTTGCTTTTTGTTCACCAAGTTCCCTTCAGCGCGATACCCAACCAATGGGGAACGATTGTTAAGTCCTGTGTCAATGTATATTTCTCCTTCTGTCATGCATTGCATTATTTAATATCTTTTCAGGAAGTAATTTCAAAGCGATTTGAATTTGATGCTTCTGTTGAAGGTGAGTTTATGTATATATTTATGTACTCCAACACGCATTCCAAATTCCAATGACTTTCATACGTACATTCAAAGGGGATTTCAATTATGTGTGTTATGCGCGTAGTCATTCCATATTTAGAATTCGCATTACCCTATAGGATAGGATGATAAAAACAGCGAATGGGCATTTCCTGGTGATATAGGATGCTTCCAGTTTATGTGTAAAATACATCTAGTGGTTTTACCAAAACATTATGTAACTATAGAGGCTGGGTATGTAGTGAGACAATGGAGAATTGAGTAGTTCTATAAAGATATATTTATTTTATATTTTTAATTCTTAGTATTTGTACTAATAAAACATTGTAACTTGTTTTTATAATAATTAATGGTTTTCTATTTTTTAACAGTGCCTGACGCTGTGGGATTTTGGCCACTAAATTATATGTATAAGTTGGAAGACGTATCTGGCAACAACAATGATGCTGATTCTAGTAATGTAGAATTGGTATATAAAAATAATTCCCATGGCCGGCCGTGTGGAGCGTATAAATTCTTTGGTGTCGCCGACTCGTGGGTACATTATCCAAACAATGGTGCTTTCGATACTGTAAAATCAATCACTATCATGGCATGGGTTTGTCCTTTTGGTAATGCAGGTCCCGTATTCCACTATAATCCATCTGGGAATGGTGTTCAAATGTGGCAGTGGGCTAGTGATCAGGCAGCAGGGGAGTTATATGGACGTGTCAGGTTCAACAAACGCGACTTAACAATAGTAGCGCCATCAGACAAACATTTAACAGCTATAAATGTATGGTATCATTGTGCGGTCACATATGATTTTGACAGTAATTTTGGATCCATGTACTTGAATGGGGAATTCACAGCACTGGGCGTTATGCCTGCAGGAGAAATAGCAACTCAGTTTGATGCACAAAGCGGCGCAGTACCAAATGCTCCATTACCAAATGGTGGTATATACTTTGATGGTTTAATAACTTGCGTGCAGGTATACAATGTGGCATTGACAGCAGAACAAATTAAGAAGGCTGCTTACGACCCGTACTGCGTGTGTCCAGGTAAAACAAAATGTGAATCAGATAACACACATTATATATCAGCTCACTTTGAAAAATGTTACTTATTTGAAACATTCATAGCTTGTATGTCACAATTATTTCAAAACTATCTTTGAACCACCATCTTTGTTCTAATATGTATGATTTATATATGTGCAAATTGACTGTGACAAGTCCTATCAATTTCCTATATAACATATTTACAAAGACTAAACAATCAAAGACCAAGATTCTGTTCTGGAATGACAAATAGTATTGATTTAGATACATTTTAGACATTATTTTCCACATTTGTCTATAATGTATCTGATCGCGAGGCAAATACATATACTACGTTAGGCATAGCCCTTGAATTTGAAATTACTACTTTAAACCAGATTATTTTTGACAATCATATACATACTATTGTTTCTACAAAAATACACTTAAATATGTAATAACGATTTGTTTTGTA